CTTAAAACTATTAGTAATAAGAACAGCAAAGTTCCTCTTTATATAAGCATCGAGTTAAAATTGTGAACTGTTCGAGTAGATTTTCAATGTAAGCAATTTCTAAGGATTTGCTTTTAACCTATGTTTTGATCTTTTGTCGTGATTATGACTACTGTAATGCTACATTAACTAGGCTTAATTTCTCGGTCTTAAACAAAATACTAGGACAATCGAACGCGCCCTTAACGTTACTCCACTATTCGTACTAGCCTTATGGGTACCATTCCGGATTTCTTTTTGGTTTTCCTCCCAGAGATATCCGCAAAACTAATTTGCACGATGGCCGTTGGCTCTAGATAGAGCTCATCCGCCCTTTTACGGGTCTTGTTTTTCGTCCCGCAGGGTGACGTGCCACCCGCCTCACCAGCGTAACGCTGGAGGGGGAGTCGGTTTAGTCGCCGGCAACCCGACCATGCGGCAGGTGGTACTGGGTTACAATGTTACCAGTAGCAGGCACTAGACCTGACCTGACCCAATATCGCTACATATCATAGGACTTAAGCCTGCATGTTATTGATAAAATTTGCTTCTGCGAACAGATATTCAAAGCAAAACATATCGTGTTGGGTGCCCCTTGTACAGGTAAGTCTGCCATATTGGCGTAGGAGCTGAAAATCATAAAAATATTTAGGTTGATAAGAATTTTAGGGGGTCTGAAAATGGCAAATCTTATTTAAAACAGGCCAAGAGTAACCTTGAGCAAGAAGTAGCCGAGCGTACGCTATGGGCTCCCCACACGAGAATAGCACGACTCCGAATAAAGAGAGGAACAATCGAAATCGACAAAAGAAAAGAAAAATGGTAAAATAAGGTGACCTTATTTTAACATTTTTTTTCTTCGGTCTATTTCGTTTTTTACGAAGTACTTAATTGCACTCCAATTGCGCCTGCTGAGGGCACCGTCACTCTTCCTTATACACACTTCACAGGCCTCCTTCCCAGGTGCTACCTCAGAAGTTATAAACGCTCCCAAATGCTGCAAAACAGCTCTTTTTTCGTCCTTTTCCCATGGGATTTTTACCACAAGACCTGAAAAGAGATACGCAAAATGTACATGGTTTTGCTAGAAACACGTGTGTCGCAAAACGATGCGAGGAGAAGGCCCGTAATATGCCAGGGATGGGGGCGGGGGGTGGGGAGTACGAGAGAAACAAAGTAAATTGTGTAGCTGGGTAAGGCGGGTTTCAATCTCCTTTTGGTTGGAGTAAATTCAAATGCAGATTTAAATGAGGTTACTATTGTTAAAGGACAGCCAGTGTCACATGGATGTTCGACAAGTTGCGTTTCACTTTTCTAAGGTAAGATTGTCTTCCAGAGGTAAAATGCTGTTGAAACTGGATTCTGCTTAATAACTTGTACAACCTGCGGGGGAGGCTAGGAAAACCTTAGCAGTAATTTTTCTCTGTGTTTTGTTATTGTGCGTTTTTTATATGCATGTGTAGCAAACGAACAACAAACTTACTTCTTTTATTTGTCTCCACCGAGCTTTGGCCAGAGCCTGAAACAAATTGGAATATAAACAAATAGAGCCACATTCTCATTCTGAGAAAACAGCCAACATTTGACGACAACATTACTGGTTTCCTCGCGAAATGACGACCGTTTAAATCAATTGAAATATTTGTTTGTAGATTTGGTGCAAAAATGTGGGAAAGTATTCCTCACAGTATCCGAGTACTTCCTAAACACGAATGTAAAGGTTCAGTATACATGAGCTCCATTAACATATCGGTAGCGGTAGACTGTTCACAGTCCCCTATTTTTTCGTGAGATCGTCGAGATAAAGCGCGTCTTACCGTAAATGGCGGCCATCTTGATTTTCAGATGTACCAAGGGGCGACCGTCGGGAATTATAGTTCTAGTGGGAGGGGGGCGTGAAAAATAGAAAATATTTTTCTCGCTTCCTTCCCAACCGCCCCCGCCCCCAAAGTAGTTTTGACACTCATGCAAGATGGCATCCCGTACGCGCAAAGCGCTCGATCTCGACGATCTTAAGGGAAACTAGGGGACTGTGAATAACTAACATGTTGGTTTTAGAACTGAAATATACTTGTGTTGACACACCAACTTGAAGCAAAAAGACAAGAAATGTAAATTAAGTTTGTATATTTTGTAACATTGTATTGCAATAACTATCAATCATTGCAGTTGTTGCTCAGAAGTCAAGAAACCAGTTGTGGCTAAGTGAAATGTCAGCTATTTTCTCTGGCTAACAAATACAAAGTAAGAGTGATTTTTTTATCCTGTATATACAGTCTTGGCCAATCCAGCCACCCCCCCCCCCTCCCCCAACCTTGTTCGGTCCGTCTCCTCGTTGGATCGCACCACCCCATAAAAAATCCTTGATGCGGTATCAGTTATTCCAGGTTTATGAACATTGGAAGAGTAATTTTATCTAACCAATTTAAATCTTTAGTCATAGATGCTGAATAGAGTTCGCTTCTTCCTGTATAAATATGAGCAATCTTATTTCACATGGGTGAGTTAGCTTAAGTAGAATCCCTGTAACTCAAACACTGAAGGAAAACGAAAACGAAAAATACTCATTTTGAATTAGTGCGGGTTGTTCATGTTCTCGGCTCGATCGGAATTTTTAATTTGCTGAGCGGTAAAACACGAGTTAAATTTGAAGACAAGGAAAAAAAAGTTTAAAACACTATATAGCATACTTTTAATGAACAATGAATCGGAATACACATCCTCGGTTTTGATAGTTATTTGGCTTCGCCCTAGTCAAGTCAAGTTATTCCAACTTACTTTTGCCATTCTTGTTCATGCCCGATGATACATCTGATCGTCGAGGTAGTTCTGAAATAACAGGATTTTATGGTTTTCAAAAAATAGACCGAAAAATAGAACAATTCATTAACTGAATAACAGACTGGAAATCCATGAGTCATTTAGTCCATATAATCCAAAGCAATTCTGTGGTTCAACAACAGGAATCATATTTTCTTCATAAATTCTTATTATTGGCAATCTAGAATTAACTCACTTTTGTTTCGTTTTGTTACAGTGGTGCTGGTTGAACGCCCCGCAGAACCTGAAATATTGAAGGTTTTAGATAGCTGATAATCAAATCGATTGATGTCATAGTCCCTCTAAACTATGCTACTTATCCTAAAAGAATATCATTAACAATAATAATAATTAATCGGCTTTTGTAAACAAACGTACATACCATTACTCTTTCTTTTCTTGCTTGCGGAAACAGAACCCAAACAGGTATCTAAGAAATAAGATTAAACATGCGTAAAAGGCTAGGGCACGATAAAAAGTAAGAAAAACGTCAAGATGTTCCCTAATCTATCAGAAATGGTTTCCTTACCACCATCTTCTGAAGTATCTGCCACTTCTGAAACAAGAAGTGATAGTGATTGTCAATTTCACGAACTAGAACACTATTTTTTGTAGGTCTTAAAGGAAGCAAACAAGGGAAACAAGAAACAGCTTCTGAATTTTTCAACACTTCCCGTGAACTCCTTGACGAGGGCTGACCAACTATCCCAGTTTCTATTTTAACTTTGTAAGGAACAATTTTTATCAATCTAGCAAAAAAAACACTTGTTAGCTATTTCTCTTACGTTGTTCCACCACTGCCTTGTTGCTAGGGACATCTGCAGTGTCCTCGTCCCCTGAGGCGCCTGACTCTAAGAGAGTGAAAAAGGGCGATGCTAATTAATACGCACGATACATACCTCCTTGACTTGTACATTTCGGTGTGACAGAATATTTCGTAAAAAATTAAGCGGCATGTTTTTCTTTTTTGAAATGTACTTGTCGTGGAGATATGTACAGTGCGCATTAATTAGCAAGCATTAGCATAACATCAAAACAGTGAATTTTGTAACGCAGATTTTTGGCCGGTTCGCAGGCTAGGTTCGTCTTGAAATTTCAAGAAGTTAAAGTGAATCAATCTTAATGGAAGTTTTAGACATTCTTACATTCATTATAAAGATTATGAGATTTGATTTTTAAAAAAATCGTTCGAGTAGTTTCAGAGATTTTAAAAAAAGCGCTGAAAGTCAAGATTTAGGATAAAGTGGCGCCTAGACAAGTGGTAAGAAAGCAGATTGCTTTAAAAGATCGCAAGAACGAAAATACACCAAACTTTCCTAGCATCGAAATATGATATTAAGCAGCATTCCGAAGTTACTCATCACGGCTATTGAAAATACGAGGTTTGAAATATATTTACGTTTTATTTGAATTCAAACATACAGAATTTTTTTTACTTCTCACGGAGGTTATTTGCTAAACACCAAACTTTAAGTTCCTAGAGTTGGATTTTTAGTAGCAGGTCTAGATTACGCAAAATTCGGCTTTTATCAATTTCCAATTTTTCTCTTTATTGTTGTCATAGTAATATCAACTTTAGTTAAAATTGCGTTTTGACAAACTTCAATCCACAGCCAATTACTGGCAAAAATTTTATAGCGATCAGACAAGCATAAAATCCTTTTAAGCCGATTGAAAAATATCGGTATGGTCTCCGAAAAACTGTATCGAAACACTTTAAGACTATTACGGCGGTGAACGCTGTGAACCCACCTTCAGACTCACTGATATTTTCCTGGTTGACTGAAATATCCGGAATATCTGTCAATATTTAAAGATAATTAGAGAACAAAGTGTCAGTTTAATAAACCAAAACAGTGACAAACATACTTTGCATGGTGTTCTTCTGATCAATTACTTTTTCGGAAAAGTTAATCCGCGTTTGTTCTAATTAGTGGTCTTATGTAGAACATCAATGAGAAGTAAGATCATGGCATGTGTTCTAGTATTTAGTTATACCGTTTCTTCATTCACCTATCTGATTTCATTGCCATTCTTTAGGTCTGTTAGAAAACCAGGCTATTAAAAATAAGAAAAAAGGAGGATAACGAAATAGGAGGACTAGATGCGCCAAATATAATTTATCCTCATATAGGCGTTCAATCGCAAATCAGGCTATACTTTTACATACCTTCGACTGACATATCCAGAAGACTCTTTCCTTGCACCTGTTCGATATTACCCGCGTCAACTGCCAAAAGGAGTTTGCTGACCTTAGCTAACTCTGCTGTAGATTCGTGAAGGCGATAAAACTGACGATGGACTCTAATATCGTGTCCAAGGTGGCGTGCGAGCCAGTCTACGTCTACTTCCGTCAATGCCGCAGTTTGTGACACGGTCGCAATGTATTTTCGCAGCTTTGTGCTGGTAATTGCCTCTGGCTTCTGTATTTCCTTTACCTCCTTAACGCTGGCTGAGACGCAGTCCCAGCCACGAAGATGACCCAAAGAGCCTTTGGTAGCTCTTGCAAAAACGTACTTGTTTGACTTGGGAATAACTGGTGGTCTTCTTTCTATCAACAGCTCTACCGCTGCCCTTGTGTCAGGTGTCAGTATGATTGGGACCGTCCTCCCTCGCTTGCCCGTGATTTCTATTAGATCGAGCCTAAGGATTCAATGTTAAAACAAGTACTAACACTTTATAGCATCACAGTGTATGATAAATCCGGATGGGTGAAACGGTTACATTTTGTTGTTCCTTTTGAGCTTGGAATGTTTTTATATTTTTCGTCCGCGTTTCTAGTATAAAAACTGTTGTAAAAACAGCCAGAGCTCCATTAGATCTGCCTTATTAGTTATGAAAAGTTCGAGCACTTTGATCGCGAAATTTAATGCCCTTTGTATTCATCTTCGCCTACTGACATGGCGAAAATAAAACCCCGCGAGACTGCGAACTAAGTATAAAATATGGAGTAGGCGTAAAACGCGGACTTTCCATATATCTTCCCTTGCTCTAATATACGATTTTACTGACTCACATCTTACCTCTCACAAAGACGCTTTTCCAAGGCTGTCAACGATGCCTTTAAAGCAGTGCTGCAGCTGGCCCAATTTGGGCGACACTGAAATTGCCCTATTTGTAGGGTCGCAGTCCCCCCTGATCTTCTTTTGTTAAAGATGATTATTCTTGCCAGAGTCGTCTTGGCCAAGCTGCTCCAGTGGCCGGCCGCGGTTTGTGTCTCTTCCCCTTCCTTCAAAATCTCTGAAAGATCTGCCATCTTTTTTTCGAGGTGATTTTTAAGCAACATTAGGTCTCCAGCTAGTGGCAGAATTTCTACTTTGTTTTGCTTCTTTGACCCCAGTGAGGCGAGGGACCGAGAGCTAATCTTGATGCTCCACTCCGCCTCAAAGAGATCAATGAAGTTCTGGCATTCTCTTATCGCTGCCTCATCTTTTTTCCTCAGCGCTGATGATTTAAGAACTTGCGCACACTGTTTGATGCTGTGCCCAAGCTTTAAGGCCAGTGAGGGGACATCTATTTCCAACCGAGATTCTTCCTTGAATCCACACAGATCTTTCACTGCAGCAACTAGCTCGTCAAATCGTGCAGTGTCTATGAAGTCATCGAAATTGGCAGCCTCGTTTTCTTTCCGTAACGTTTGGAGGAGCCTGGCTAACTGGCGCATTCTTTGGGAAACATAATTTATGCTTTTTGTCCCGACTTTTTCAAAGATAGCGGCGCCAAAGTTAACAATTAGGGCGTCTTTTCTGGCAATGGCTGATATTTCGTCGTTGTTCATAGAGGAAAGAACGTTATCATGGAAGCTCTTTTTCACATCTTTGGTGGACAATACAGTTGTTGGTAATAGAAGCTTAGCTTCTTGCTGTACCCTCGACCATTTTGGGGGAGTCTCTTGGGACCGATGGGGACAATTTTGTCGGTGCCTCCAGAGCTCTGACCCCATAAAAAAACCCATACAACTAGGGCAAGGCAAGTAGTTAGCCGCAATCCCTTCTTCTACGTTTTTCGGCATTCGCACCACGATTAATTCTCCCTCGCCCAGGGCCAATACGTCGCAGTTGTGTTGGTAATCACCTAAGAGGCGAAGCCTCTCAAATGCTAAATCTTGCTCCTGGGCAGTTTCCATGGCCATTGCTTTCGACACTTCTGATTCATTTTTGTGCTTTCTGGTTTGGTGTCTTCTGACCTTTTTTTGCGGCTTCTTACAGAACAAGCACACATGTGACCGCTCGCTTGAAACAAATATTTTCGAGGTCTTCCCTACAAAGAGATTTAAAGGGATAAAAAATAAATATTATAGTTACTTAAAGCGACACTCTGAGGAATTCGAGTGCCAATATTACGGTCGACTCGGAAAGATTTTTTTTTCAAAATGGTCGTTTCCAAATACGTCATTCGAACTGGAAACAGATTTGATTATGAACAAAAAGACCGAGGCTTAATAATCCTTCAAACACTATTTTCATGTTCCAGTGTCGAGCTCAGTTGCCCATTGAGTTGGGTACAGGCATGTCGATGACGTCCCACTCGGGTCCTCTTTGCTGATTACATAATTAAAAAGTTAATATACCTCCTAAAAATTTAGCAAGTCCTGGCGGCACCAAATTAATTATCCTCAGCTAATATTTGCATCGGTACTCAGGCACGGTCTTGTTTATTTTGCAAACAGAAATGTACAAGATATAGATCGACTACAGCGCCAACAGAATAGATCTACACGGATTTTCACACGTTGCTCTCGCTCATCTCAAGCAATAGAGCAGCTTGCATTGACTCTTTCCAGCAGACGCTCTTACCACAAGGTCAAAATCGTTTTTCTCTGTCTTCACTCATTAGCTCCTCCAGTTATTTTTCATTATATTTTCACTAGATTTTCGAACATTCACTCAATTATTCCACAAGGCAAAGTATGAGGCTATCCCTACCAAACGTTAAACAGACTTTTGGGAAAAGGACCTTTCTTTTTACTGGCGCAAAAATTTTTAACAAACTCCCTTTAAACATTGTGAAGAGTGAAAACATTCAGACGTTCTGGCACCGAGCAAGACATTTCTTTTTATCATAACTTTGATAGTTTATTATTTTTTAGGCTTTAAATTCTATTATTGTATTTTTATTACCCTCTTTAAATGTAACAGTTTATGAAAATTATTAATGTAAATTAATTTTTTAAGGTACGGGGCCCCTATGGAGACCAGCCTTAGAGCTGAATGGGCTACCCTGTGTAAAAGTTTTACTTTACTTTACTTTACTTTAGTGGCATGAATATCAAGCAGCCAACCTTTTTTAACATCTGATCCTGAGGGTTCACTGAGTGGGGCACAGGATTGTTTTTGTTCCTTCTGATTCTATAATAGAAGCGTCAATCAGGAATTAATGGCCATGAGAAAAGCAACACTTGTGAAGGGAAAACCACAACGACGAACCAGTGAGGGTCAGTCGGATCTTTAGATCAGTAAAATCTTCAATATCAAATTTAAAAATTAGAACTGTAGACTGATCCCTATGGCAGGAAGAATGGTAGGAAAATAAAATTTGGCTGAAAAAAGTTTTAGGTTTCAAGATAGGAATTTGCATGGTTCGTTAAAACTGATGCGTCGAGATACGAAAAAACGGGAAGACAAAATTACCCCTTTCCCACCCCTGTCTTCACGATGTCGCATATCTGCCTAGGGTAATTAATAATTGTACTTTGTTGGTAGAGGGTCTGAATGGGGTTTAGTTTTTACTGCTATTTGCCCGTAATCTTTAGTGTTTGCTTTTAAATTTGCCAAATTTTAATGTTTACTGTTTCCGAAGAAAATACTGTTAAGTGTTTGGAGGGTTTTTCGGACATCTTTGGCAATGGTCGGACCTCTTCGTTAGTCTTCGGAAATCTTCGACAGTCCTCGGGAATCGTCGGTGGCCTCAGGAAATCTTCTGAATTAATCCGGAATTGTCGTAAAATGGCCGAAACCACGTCGATATACTAAACAAAATAATATTGACCTATTTGGAGCCGTTTTTGCTTCTTTCTGGAAAAAATTTACTGTTTCAAAGAATTTTTTTTACTGTTAGTGTTAAAAGCTAAAAAATGAAGTGTTTTGTGTTTTTTGAACTATTGAAATAGGGAAAACTTACATTCCTGACGTTGGAGGCGCCATCATCAGCGTTCTGTAGACTCGCCACTGTAATAAAATGATTAAAAAAAATTAAAAATAGTCCTCTGGGATGAACAAGCTTTCCATTAACGGGTACCTATGGTCCGACTGTCGGCAATTGTTAGCGCACTTTTTCGTAACCGTGTGAGAAAAAAGGGCTCTTGATTCAAGTTGTTTTAGCTTTTGCAAACAAATCTGTTGTGAAAGTATTTCATGATTTCTTAATATCAGACAGTCATTTCATTTCCATTGTACTGACTTCCCGACCAAATCGATTCAGTCCAGATCTCCATAATTGTACAGAATTGACTTAAAGGAGGAGAAACAATCACAAGAGTAAAGCAGGTAAACGTTCTCTGGAGTCGATCCATTGTTGGATTGTACCTGAGCAAACGGCGACTGCTCCAAGGTACTTTACCGAATTTCCTAGCGCGTATCCTCTCTACCCCGTCCGAGAAAGAAGAAAGAAAAAAGAAAGAAAAAAACAAGAATGCAAAGTGCCACCAACCTTTCATCTTAGGATTTACTGCTTTTAAAGCTGTTCTTGAGAGTACCTCTTCATCCTGGAACCAGATATACAAAAATGTTAAAATCAATGAGACAAACGATTTCTTTCCTTTCCCTGTTGTTTAGAGGTCACCCGCCCCCGTGCTTCCTTTTTCTCCCCTATCCCCCACCCACCACTGACCAGTATAAGAAGAAAAAGAAGAAGAAGAAGAAGAAGAAGAAGAAGAAGAAGAAGAAGAAGAAGAAGAAGAAGAAGAAGAAGAAGAAGAAGAA